AATCCAAAAGGCATACAAAGAAATGAAATTTGGCAGATGGATGTGTTTCATTTTGCAGAATTTGGAAGATTAAAGTATGTACGCCATACCATTGACACCTATTCAGGATTGCAGTGGGCAACTCCTATGAGTTCTAAAAGGGCTGATTCTGTGATTACACACCTATTAGAAGTTATGGCCATCATGGGAATACCTATACAAATTAAGACAGACAATGCCCCAGCATATGTCTCCAATAAAATGAGACAGTTTTTTGCTTATTACAATATAAAGCATGTTAAGGTATACCACACAATCCCACAGGCTAAGCAGTCATAGAAAGATCCAATCGAACTTTAAAGGATATGCTAAATAAACAGCAACAGGTAACGATGACTCCTAGAAATAGATTGCATAGTGCCTTATTACCCTTGAATTTTCTCAGTGCTGATGAGAAAGGAACAACAGATGCAGAGAGACACTGGACAACAGACAAAACTCCTGAACTATACCAACCGGTTTATTTCAAAGATGTTTTGACCTCAGAATAGAAACCTGGATATGCCCCACATTGGGCACCAGATATTGATTGTTGTATTAAGGCAACTCCACATAGTTAAAAGGGAGGTTTATTTTGTGGGGTAACTTACAAGTAAAGGGATGGGTTATAGAGTCTGGAAAAGGTATAGCACAGTGGTGTTTTCTGGAGAACTCTGCTCAATCTACCTCCAGCGTCCAGGATCCAGGAACTAAGAGAGTTGGCACATCCGGATCTTGGGTCTTAAGGGCTCCTGTCTCAGCCCTGCCTTGTAGGTGTGACAGTTATTAAAGCCTCAGTGTGGGTAGTACTTCCAGGTCAAAGCTGGAACAGCTACCCACTACACTAGTCCTTTAAAAAATGTTTACAAATCACATTTTGTTTGTTATTGTGAATGTGTGTGCATGCACGTGGGTATATGTTTGCCATAGAACATATGTAGAGGCCAGAGGACAACTTATAGGAGGCTGTTCTCTCTGCTTGCACCATTTAGCCCCAGAGATTGAATGTAGGTGGTTGGTATTGGCAGCAAGTGCCATTATTCTCTGAACTATCTCACTGGCCCCCTATATTTTTGTTAAATCTCTCAAAAGATTAATGTACTTTATTCCTTTATCCCCATCAAATTGCAGTTTTAAAGCATAACATAATTGCAGAGCAGTATCAGTGTTTATCTTTATAAAACACTTGTTGGCATTTCTTTTTTCCTTCAGAGGCTTCTTTAAAAAATATTGTGTATGTGTGTTTGTCTGTTTGCGTGTATATATATACCACATGCATGCAGTGCCCAAGGAGGCCAGTAGAGGGTGTCAGGTCCCCGGAACTGAAGTGACAGGTGCTTGTGAGCTACTGTGTGGGTGTTGGGACTCAAAACTGGGTCCTCTGCCAGAGCAGCCAGTGCTCTTAACTGCTGAGTCATCTTTCCAGCCCCTCCCTTTACAGCTTTCTTTCTCCATCATAACTACCTACACTCACAAATTAAATCCTGGTAATTCCTGGTGGGGGCCTAGTCAGATGTGGATGTGGTCAGTAGCTTGTCTGTGTCTGGTGTGGCCAGGAGTCATCCTGGCAGTGTCTGTGTTCTTGGAAGTAGCTGCTGTCCCTCACAGCAGGGCTCTGGGATAGCTTGCACACACCTGGGGTATTGGGACATGTTGGACGGAGTCCCTTCTTGCACTGTGCTTGACCCCAGCCTCCTTCCCTCTGCCTCAGCATTGATTCCATAGAGCGGTCTGACGTGGGCAGCCTGCTGACCAGAGGCTCTGCCTCCCTCTCCTCTCTGGTCCCAAGTGTGCCCTGTCTGGTTTCTCTCTCCTCAAGACTGTCTTCCATGCCTTCACCTTGCCTAGGTGAGGAATGTTCTTTTAGTGGAGGGATGTGATGACCGATAGGCTGTGATGTGATGACTCATAGCTCTCAAGGGAAAGCTCTGGCCACTGAAAGATGGACCCCCCCTACACACACATCCAGGACTTGGTATTTAAGGCTTACCGGTGGCATTTAGCAGAGCCGTTGTTACTCATGTGCCCCTGCTCACCTGTCCTAGATTGGCATCTCTTTCCATCAGCCCCCGCAGCTCCTTTGTGCACCACACATGGAAAGATATCAATAGACTCCATGTTTCTGACACAGTACTGTCCTCAGCGTGATGAATAACAGAAACTTCTCGCTGTGTCAGTCCCATATGACAATAGCATTAGCAGCAGAAATATTTCTTTTTTAAAAATGTTTAGGTTTAATATTTGTTTTATGTGGGTGAGTGTCTCGCTTGAGTGAACGTACGTATGTGTACCGTGTGCATGCTTGGTGCCCACGGAGGTCAGAAGAGGACGTGGATTGCCTCTAGCTGGAGTTAGATATAGTTGTGAGCCATCGTGTGGGTGCTGGGAACTGAATCTGGGTCCTCTGTTGGAGCAGCCAGTGTTCTTAACTATTGAGCCACCTCTCCAGCACCAAGTTTATTTTCTTTTAACATCAGTACTATATAAAATTCAGTCTGACCACTTCAGAGACAGCAGATGGGTCCCTGTCCAAGCCTGTGTTTAGAATCAGTCCATCTTCTTCCACTTTTAGCCTCCAATTCCTGTGGGACCTTTGGGGAAGTGTTGTGGGTGTGAACCATGTGGCTGGTGCCCCAGGTTGACAGTAGTCTGGCCATCCTGCATTTTATCCATGGCCCAGATGATATGTCTGGAGCTGTGTGCAGAGCTGTGCAGTGTGGGCCAGTTGGTGGGACAAGCAGGGAAGGACTTATTCCTGACTCCTGGGAAGTTCTCTGTCTTCCAGGGTATGTGAGGCCATTCTTGAAAATGTGCTGGGATACTAGGCTTTAGCCAGGAACATGGGAGCTGCTGCCTGAAGCATGTGGACTGGAGCCGGCACTGGGTGGGTGGGGGTGTACCTTGAGTCCACATTCTGCTCTGTGATTGTGTGACCCCAGGTGTCCAGGTTTGCTTTCTATTACTGTGATAAAGAGCTTGGCCAAAGGCAACGTGGGGAAGAAAGGGTTTATTTCAGCTTATGGTGTAGTCCATCATGTAGGGAAGTCAGGGTAAGAACTTGGAGGCAGGAATAGAAGCAGAGGCCATGGAGGAATGCTGTTTACTGTCCTGCTCTCCATTGCTTGCTCAGTCTGGTTTCTTGGACCACCTTCCCAAGGGTGGCCCTGCCCCCAGTGGTGTGGGCCCTTCCACATCACTCAACAAAGAGAAAATGCCACATAGACTACAAGCCAATGTGATGGAGGCAAATCTTCAAGTGAGGTTCCTTTTTCTGGATGACTAGCTTGTTTCAAGTTGGCATGAACCAACCATCACACCAGGCAGTTGCATGAGGTTTACCAGGGCAAAGAGCTACTAGTTAGAATTCAGGTCCTTGGCAGTTCCTGATTCAGCCAGTTCCTCCTCAGTTTGGTCATGAGAAAAAAAATAAAGATGAACTTTCTTTGGGAAGAATGGGAGGCTGACAGCTGAGGGTCCCCAGACAGCACCTGCTTTCTTGTGCTTGACCAAAGAAACACTGGTCTGCTTCCCCGTCAGGGATGTCAGGTTCACTTGTCACCCCATGCTTTGCTCAGGGTCCCAGCCACACTGGGTAACTGTTTGTCTTCTGTCCAGGAGTGCCCCCACGCCTGCCCGCTGCTGCCCTGCCATGGGGACCCTGTACAACACCAACACGCTCGAGGCCTTCAAGACCGCAGACAAGAAGCTCCTCCTGGAACAGTCAGCCAACGAGGTTAGCTGCTCAGCCGAAATGGCTCCATTGCGTTTCCTGGGGTCCAGGCAAGTGCACTGTGCCTGCTCAGGCACACGGGTCTATCACAGAAATAGTCGTTACCTAGAGGTGCTGGCGAGTTTGAGGGCTTTTTTCCCAGAGGAAATATGGTCAACTCTCTCCTGTACAAAGAAAATCATCAGGGGGAGACCGCCTGGCTCCGAAGTGGGGCTGGGGGTGGGGTTCCTACAAGGCTAAGGTAGAGAATGAGCTTGGCTGCTGGAGTCCAGGGAACATTTGCAGCAGTGTGGCCCCTGAGAATTACGTTGTTGTGACCAAATGCACATGGAGCTCTGTGCTCTGTCCCTCAGGAGGCTTGCCTGTCCTGAGCCACAATGGCACTTACAGACAACCCTCCAGTATTGCCAGGGCCAACTCTAGTCGGTGCCAGGCTGGCTTGTGAGCCCGCCCCCCAGACCTCTGGCATTTCTTCCCTGTCAATCTTGCCTTTGCATCCTCTGTCTCAGCGGTACCAAGTGGGTGAGGTGGCCTGTCACCTGCTCTGGATGCCTTTACTTTACCTCTTCACTTCTGAGGTGGAGGAAAATGAAAGCATGGGGTGGAGGGGCTGGTCCTTGCCTGTCTTCTTGTCTCCTTTAGTTGAGGGGTCTTCACACTGGTCTTAGAAAACAGACGGCATCTTGTACACCACTGGAGGATGCAGTCAGTGCAGCTGCTGTGGGGGCTGTAAAAGTGCTCAAAGACTAAGACGAGAGCCAGCTAGTGCTCCAGAGTGGCGCCGCTGGTGTCTCATCTAGAGAAAGTGAGCTCTAAACCTTGAAGGCACACCTGCAGCCTGTCCACGGTTGCCGGGGTGCCCTGAGCAGGGGAGCTCATGCCGGACCATGGTACATATGCACAGGGCTCTTACCCATGAAGAATAAAGTCCCGCCATTTGTGACAACTTGGGGAGAGCAGGAAGGCCTTTGAGGAAGGGGAATGAGTCAGGCACAGGAAGACCAACAGCCCAGAGCCCCACTCACTGTCGAGTCTGAAAATGTTCAATGCAAGGAGAGCGTAGAACAGAACGGTAAAGGCTGGGGAGGGAGAAAGCAAGAGAGGCCGGTAAAGGCCGGGGAGGGAGAAAGCAAGAGAGGCCGGAGAGGATGGAGGGGAGATGCTGAGCAGTGAGAAGGGGTACGTTTAGCTCCCCGCAGCACAGTACAGGGGTTGTTTGACAGTGGAATATCTCAGGGTAACTAGAAGAAAGGGATTTGAGGATCCCCTTCCCACACGCAAGAAAGCGAACTCCTCTGCTGTGGTCACTGCCATCTGTGTGTATTTTATGAGCCGGTTTAATAAGGGACCTTCTGCAGGAGCCGCACTAACAATAGTCACACCAACGTGGCAGAGAAACATGAGACCAGCCTTCTCTGTGTCGTCCCATTGGTCACCTCCCTCGAAGTGGATGCAGCTCTAGAGAGTTACATCAGGCCTTCCTCCATGAAGGGAAAATCCTAACCTTGACCGGGCTCAGATTTCTCCTGTGGTCCCCACCCTACCCCAGCCAGCTCATCAGAAAGTGGGGTCCACCCGTCCATGGTCCAGTGCCTCTAGGGTGGTGATATCTGTTTATTTCCCTCTCACACGTGCATTTGGGGCATGGTTCTTGTTATGAGCATTTGCTGTGGCTTTTGTAGCCACATAGTTTAGCAGCTGAGCTCTGAGCATCTTGTGACCAGATGGTGACAGCCCTGGCTGTCATCCACAGACACAGCACTGGCCCTGTGTTCAGACATGGAGGCCATGCTCATTTTCTCATCTCTCAAAGCTCCAAATAGAGCTTGGAGAAAGCCTCACTGTGGGGATGGGTGTGGGGGGGCACACCTTAAATCCCAGCACTCAGGAGGCACACACAGGGGATCGACTGAGTTTGAGACCAGCCCATTCTATTTAGAGAATTCCACACCACCCAGGGCAACATGCCTCCCCAACCCCCCCAAAAAGAAAGAAAGTCACACTGTGTAGTTTAGTTCAAATCACTCACTTCAGTGCCTCCCCTCCCTGAAATTCCCACTTCCCGACAGGTCAGGTGTCCACTTCTCTGACAAAGTGCATGGAGCTGAGCATGCACTTTTTATTTCCGCAACCATGGCATGCCTGGCACCCAGCAGGCAGTAGCGAATCCCCGCTGATGAGCATCTCGAGGGTGTGAGTGTCTGCTTGCCTCCTCCGTGCTGAGTGCCCCTGAGGGAAGGTGCCAGGTACTCTCGCCGGCTGATAATGATGGAGCAAGGCTGCTGGAGAGGCAGTGTGAAGGAGGCAGAGAGAGGTAATGAGCCACTTCAGTGTTGGAGAGCAGCGGAAGGGAAGAAGAGTAGCGGCTGGCCAGAGGAACCAGCAGCCCGGACCTAATGCCTTTCTCGTTCTTCCGGCAGATCTGGGAAGCCATAAAGTCAGGCGCAGCTCTCGAGAACCCCATGCTCCTCAACAAATTTCTGCTCTTGACCTTCGCGGTAAGTAGATGGGCGGAGACTCCACAACCCTGACTCGGCCCCATGGACCAACAGGAGGCTTCGCTCTTGTTTCTTAGAGCTGTTCCCTGGGAGTGTGTGCTGAGGCCACTAGCGGGAAGCTTGCTGAGTAGTGGAGATCATGCTAGCACGTGTGAGCAGTGCAGGGCTGATCTGGGCCTCTTGATCTACAGCCATTGCGTACTTTCTCAAACCCAGTCACCCAACTCCTGTCATTCAACACAGGATAGAGCAGGCTCAAGGAACAGAGGCTCCACTGTTGCCGGAGAATGTCTGTGTTGAATAGGATCCTGCAGCCAGGTGTGGTGACACACACCTGTCACCCCAGCACTCATGAGGTGGAGACAGGGATACTCACAAGTTTGAGGCCAGCCTAGTATGCATTGTGAATTTCAGGCCAGCTACCTAGCAACAGTACATCTCAAAACAAGCAAACGAAAAACAAATAAGCACCCAGCATTCTTTCGAGGCCCATCATGTCCCTCCACTTGCTGTCACTACGACAAAGTTCTCGTGATAACTAACTTATAAGAAGTTTGGCTCGTGGTTTCGGAGGTGTTGCTCTAGGGTCTCTTGGCTTCACCGTGTTTGGTCCTATCAATACTCAGAATATCATGGTGGGAAGCAGAGAGAGAACCAGGAAAGGGCTGGGTGCCCAGTGTCTCCTTTAAAGGCATGCCCTCAGTGGGTTAATTCCATCCTATCGCTCTCTACTCCCCAAACCCCACCCCACCTCTTAAAGGTTTGACTGGATCTCAGCACCACAGCCTGGGGACCAAGCTTTTGCTTGCTGGAGGAGCAGCCAGTGCTCTCAACCATTGAGCCATCTCTCCAGGAGAGATGGGGGCTGGAGAGATGGCTCAGTGGTTAAGAGCACTGACTATTCTTCCAGAGGTCCTGAGTTCAATTCCCAGCAACCACATGGTGGCTCACAGCCATCTGTAATGAGATCTGGTACCCTCTTCTGGCCTGCAGAGACACTGCAAGCCACCACCAGGACAAGTAGCATGTGAAGATGCCGGTAAGCCACCAGCCACGTGGCAAGATATAGATTTATAAAAATGGGTTAATTTAAGATAAAAGAACAGTTAGCAAGAAGCCTGCCACAGCCATATAGTTTATAAGTGATATAAGCGTCTGAGTGATTATTTAATAAGTGGATTGTGGGACTGCAGGGCTTGGCGAACCTGGAGAGAAGCCCTCCAGCAACACTTGCCTCTGAAGACGCTTCAGATCCAGAGTCTCAGTAGCAGCCATTGCATAGAGGAAAGGGGCTTCTGGATGGAGGCAGTCATACCACCTGGCTTTAGCACACATACAATTGTTTACCAAAAGAAAAAGAAGACTGTCTGTATGCAAGACTTAATGTCTAGCACTGTTAAGGGCAGCCTGCCAACTGGTTAAGAACCCAAGAGCTGCTTTCCCTGTATGTTTGCACACAGCCCATAGCTGAGGAAGGCATCTGCATATGCAGATGTCTGTAAAATACTGTTGTGTACTGTCAGGTGGGTGTTCCATAGACCCCAGTTTACGTTCAGGATGAGATTCCTGTCCCCTAGTGTGAACAGCACTTCCATGACCCACAGTGGCCAGCCATATTGATGTCCTCTCTGGCTATGCGTGTGCTTCTAGGCATATTAAGGTCCCTGTGTGTTAAAGTGTGTTGCTTTGCCACAGCCTCATCAACTCTGGACATCAGTCTCCTTCCACACATTGATATATTTATTTGCTTAATAAAGTTGGATATGTTAAGAAAATGTTTTTGTACACTTGGGAGAAAGGTACCAATTTAGTTATTTTTATTTGAGCCTTGCTTCTCCAAATGCCCCCTGTGTCCTTCCCTGCCAGGCACAAGAGGCTGGCAGGGTACATACCTCCGGCAGCCCCAGGAGCACATTGCCCAGTGGGTGATGGTGGGAGAAAGGATGCTCTGGGGCTCTGTCCGGTTGCTAGGTGCAGCGTGGATGTCAGTCATTTATCTACTTATGAGTTCCTTGGTAGGATGGATTTAATTAGTGCTAAAGGTTTCAGAGTTTGTTACTCGATCATGAGTACCTTTTTACACTAAGAATTCTTGTTAATTAAACACTAATCCATTTTTATACCAAGGATCCCAACTAACAGTTTCAGCTTAATGAGAAAATAACATCAGCTTTTATTCAACTTTTAAGCAGTTGCCTAGAGTCAGTGGCTATCTGCCTTGGTGTCCCTTTTTGCAAAATGTTCTTAGCTGGGCTGTACAAAAAAAAAATAAAATGGCCCTTTAAACTCTTCAGACACAAAGGGCTTTATGTTTAATTTGTCCAAGATCCTTTGCATCCCGGGAAAAACAAAGCACAGCAATAAGAAAGCTTTGGCTTCTGGAGATGACCTGATAAGCTGGCGGCCTGTGTGCGGTCCCCCATCTTGAATTGTTTAACCTTTTGCTGAAGATCAGCTATGACAAATCACTCGTGCACAGGTGGAGAGCGGACTCCCAGGCCTTCAGTTTTCCTGTCTGCAGTTCTGAGCCTCAGAGGGCCAGGCCCGTCATTCATTTCAATTTGACAGTTTGCTTTGCCATTGTGAAAAGGGATTCTTTTTTGAGTTCATCAATTCCTGACCAAGATGGAGACTGTGGAGACTGTAATCATCAGGCTCTCATCTGGAACTGTGTTACATATACACATATTTGATTTTAAAAGTCATTGACTGATTTGATTCCTATGAAAACTCTGGAAACAGGCATATATATCCCCAGAGACTGTCCTGCTGTGTCCAGAGGTCCGGGAGAATGGAGAGCGGGGCCGTTCTGCTTGTAAGGACAGGGTTTCTTCTTGGAATAATAAACATGTTCAAGAATTACTGGTGGTTCAGCTGTACCAGACAAAAACAAACTCCACAGAACTGTTTGTGTAAATGTGATGGTTTTCTCTAATTTGAATTGTGTTTTGATACAAGAGGCTTCTAGGGCCTGGGGAAATGGCTTGGCTAAAGCACATCAGGACCTGAGTTCAGATCCCCAGAACCACATAAAAGCCAAGTGGGCATGGCAGCCACCTGTGACCCAAGGGTGTGGAGGGCAGAGAAGCCGGCTAGTCAGACAGCCTCCTCGGTGTGCTTTGGGTTCAGTGAGAGACCCTGCTTCAGTATTGAAGGTGGGGGAAAAAGGAAGACACTTGATGACAACCTCAAGCTTTCACATGTGTACACAAACACCTGTGAAAACATGCACCCTTGTACACACACGTGCCCACAGACATGAGAACACACACCCATATATGCATATATGGCACACTCATATGTATCCAAAATCAAAAACAAACAAAATCAAAATCACGTGACAGCTCTGCAGTTCTCATTGTTCGCAGGACTTGAGAAGAGTGATTCCTTAGCTGAAACACCGCATCAGAGCTTCACGCTGCATCACAGGTGAGGGAAGAAGAGGCTGTCCAGGACCACAGCGCCCTGGGGTCCTATCCCATGAGAGAGTCAGGCCCTAATGGCACAAGAATTTGAGGCCCTGGGGCTGAATGGGAGCTGAGTTGAGAACAGCTGGGAAACCCCTTTCCCCGGGTATGGGAGTGACCATCTGTTCCCTGCATGATGTCATTACACCTCAGTTTGGAGCCTGCTTTAACTCAGACTGTCAGTCACAGACTTACTAACTCTGTTCTGTGTGGAAGGCCAGCAGCTGACGGCTAGGACCGAGGCGTAGTCATTGTATTGTCTGAGTGTCGTGTTTTGCCTTGTACACAGTAGGCGTTTAATAGGTGCTGATTTACACTTGACCAAGAAGACATTTTGGAAAGCACTATCAAACAGGGAAACATCCTTAATCTTAAACCAGAATGTTTCCAGATCAGGACTTTGAATGTCAACATGGTAACACAATGGAAAATTCCACACTTAAAATGCTGCTGCACTAAAAATACTGTATAAAATGTCATGCAAGTTATGGAGATAAGATGTATATAACACAAAAAAGAATTTCCTGTTTAGGCTTAGGTTCCCTTCACAGGATATTTCAGAGAGAGCACATATGCAAATAGTCTGACATCTGGAAAAACTGCAAAATCCGAGCCACCTCAAATGCCGAGCCTTTGGGGAAGAGTTCCCTTCCGTGTGCAGAGAACAGAGCACTGCTTTCTCAGGACTGGACATAGCTGTGTGGTTTGTTGTTGTCGTTTTTGGTGGGGTCACCATGGGAGGCCTCCTGGGTGTAAAATGGGACAAGAGGCTACCTCCTAGGGTCGCTTCTTCCTAAAGCATGCAGAGGTCAAGGGTTTAGCTTCTGCTTCTGAATGAGAAAGTCTGCTTACCAATATATTGTGAGATGATGTGGGCAGGAAGCCTGGGCTCCAGGCACAAGTTTTGTGTTCTCTGTGTTCTCTAGCGATCTCTGATGGAGATGATCTGGGCATACTTAGTGTACATCAGCTTTTAATGCACCCAGCTTTTCTTGTGGTGGGTTATGAAGCTGGGTCTTAGGTAGTAACCTAGGCTGGCCTCTGACTTACTATGTAGATCAGGACATCCTTAAACTTGTTTTCCTCCTGTCTTCATCTCTCAGGTGCTGGGATTACAGGCATGCACACTGCTCCTAGCTGAATATATTACATTGATAAATGTGTGTTGGTTCCATTTGTGGGACCAATGTTCTATATAACTTTGTTCTGATTTGTGTTTACCCTAGGACCTGAAGAAGTACCACTTCTACTATTGGTTTTGTTGCCCCGCCCTCTGTCTTCCTGAGAGCATCCCTCTAATCCAGGGACCTGTGGGCTTGGATCAAAGGCTTTCACCAAAACAGGTATCAGCAAGTAAAAAAAAAAAAAAAATGCAGGTGAAGTCCAGCTTAACTGAGAGCAGGTGTGTGGCTCACAAGGAAGCTGAGCAGCAGTCACTGGATGGAGAAAAGGCACCTTGGAGCTCTCCAGAGGGTGTGGGAGCTGTGTTTACTAAGTGCTGATAAGGTCAGTGTGAAGAGGAGGAGCCATCCTCCTCCAGGTGGCCCTGGCACTTGGTGAAATGCTAAGCCCACAGGGAGGAATTACAGGAACATTTTGAAAGACTGAGAATTTATGAGTGTGTTTTTCATCTTCAGTCTGGGGAAGACATAAAGCCACAGCCCTTACAGAGAGTCTGTGAGACAAGCCTCACCCCCACCCCAGACCAAACGCAGGTCTGGTCCTTTCATTCAAGGGGGTCATTAGAGATTAGTCCCAAGAACAATTAAGATAATCAGGCTGGCAGAACACAGACCTAGCTGGAAAATTCTGATTGTTATGAAGACCTTGACTGAGGGTCAAGATGATCTGAATTCCGGAAGCATGTCAGTAAGATGCAGAATTCTGAAGCTGGCAAAGATTTAAAGGCAGGGTGGGGGCGGGGAAATGACTTGGCAATTAAGAGGGACCCAGGTCCCTACCCCAGCACCCACACAGCAGTTCCAGGCAGCTGTACCTCCCTCTCCAGACGGACCAAACCCCTCCTCTGGCCTCCTGGTCACTACATGCATGTGGTGTACAGACACGTATGCACAAAAGTACTCATATACATAAAATAAAAATAAATAAACCTTTTAAAAAATATTTAAGAATTAATTTATTTTAGAACAAATACATGGTTGTAGTTTTCCGCAACTAATTTCCTAAGAAGAAACCTAACTTGAGTCAACGCCTAACTTGAGTCAACGCATTCTAGTTGGAGATTGAATGTTGATGTTTAAGAAGGAAAAAAAAAGTTCTCAGATCATCTCAGGAACTATTAGCCAACCTTGTAACATGCTGCCCAAAGAAAAAAATAGTCGTGGGTTCTGAACTGGAGGGATGGCTCAGTGGTTAAGAGCTCTTGTTCATGCTAAGGACCCAGGTTTGGTTCCCAGCAGCCCTGTGATGGCTCACAACTGTCCCTAACTCTACCGTCAGGGGATCTGATGCCCTCTTCAGGCCTCCACAGGCACTGCAGGCACCTGGTACATATTTACACATAAAGGAAAAACTCATACACATAAAATAAAAAGTGAAAAAATTTCAAGACAAAAGATTCTGCCTTCTAAATGGATGAATTGTAGGACATGTGTATTGTGTCATAACAAAACTGTAAAGATAATGGCAAATTTTCTCACTGGTTGGACCATGCTGGGTTATCACAGAAGAATGCTTGTTTACCTCTGTAAACCTCTGTTGACAGCTTAGGCAGCCACCATTCGGACCCACAAAGTGCCCCCTTTGTGCCCCTGTGAAGGCATAGCACAGGGAAGGTTATGGAAAGGTTAAGAGGTGGTATCAATGGGCACTTGGTGAGCTTGGTTATTTCTAGCTAGCTGGCTTTGTGGTTCCTTTGGCGGTTTTGGTCTTTATCTCAGAGCTGTATTTCCTAGAGAGTGCCTTCACCTCCATTGTTTTCAGATCCAGGCCCTCGAGCATGCCTACGATGATCTGTGTCAAGCTGAAGGAGTCACGGCCCTTCCATACTTCCTAATCAAGTACGACGACAACACTGTGCTGGTCTCCTTGCTCAAACACTACAGTGATTTCTTCCAAGGTCAAAGGACAAAGGTCAGAGTCTATGGGTATCATTTTGTTAGGCAGTTAAAAAACTTGAAGTTTGCATTCTAATAGAGCACTATCCGTGAAACTTCACATTTCCTTAGCCCTCCATGGTATGTTCTAGAACATTTCCTTCTGTCCTCTCCACCCCTTGTCCCCACTTCAGTTCCTCCTCGGGATCCCCCTGGCTCACTCATAGCTCATGGTGTGACTCCTCCCTCCTGTTAGTGATGAAGATATCTGTTTTCCCTCTAGAAATGTCCTACATCCATGTTCAACTGGCCAGCCTCACCACTGAGCCTGCCTTCCTCCTGGGCAGTTGGAATCTTGCATAATACTGCTATGGAAGAGTCATCCTCAGATGGTTCATGTCACCCAGTCATTCAATGAACAGAGCCTACTGGGGCCTCTCTTCTGGTCCCAGTACCTTTCTGCCCATCCCCTACTATTCTCCCCATAAACCATTGCTCTAACTGAGCTTGCCTGCTTTCATCCGGCATCTACATCCCACCACCATCACCCAACCAAACACACCCAGATCTCTTTCTGTCTGTTCACTCGCACTGTGTCATCTTCCTGTGAGCGTCTACACCACTCTCTGTCCTCTGTGTCTCCTCCCATTGCAGAGCACTCTCACAGGGTGGCCATGTGTGTTCTTTCCCTATCTGGCCTCCCTCCATTCAGTCCCTGGTCCAAAAATGCCTTTTTGTATCATGTTGGACTGTTAACCAGGGCCAGTGTTGATCAGTTGATGTCTGTGGAGTGTGTAGGTAACAATTGTCTGAGGCCCTCAATCAAATTCTTTTGAATGAATGAGTATTGCAAATGTTTTCTTAAGTGATAAGACATGTTGTATTTGTATGTAATTTGAGCCATATATCAGGTTGTGAGTTAAAATGTGGAAGTTGTGAAATCAGGTGGAGTAATGTAAGTAAAATGTATGAGAGTTGAGAAAAAAGAGGCCCTTAACTGATGGCCAGTTTGAATCTACAACCCAGGGCCTTGTGAATGTTAAACCAAGCTCCACTCCCAGCCAGGATGTCTTTGTTTTAAAATCAACGGCATTCTCATTTTCTTTTTCAGAGGAAAAGTCCTCAAAGAATAAAGATTTCACTTTTAAAATTCTTCTTTTGTCCGGGTGAGAATAGACAGTTGTGGTGGTTGCTGAGTAGACCAGGCCTTTAGTACTTAGGGTCCAGCCTACTGCACAGTGCGACTGTGATAGCAGGCAGGGTTGTTTGCAAGCTGCTGGAGGCCTGGCTGGGTGCAGCAAATCCATGCCCCTGTCCTCGGTGTCACTGCAGCAACATAGCCATTCACAGAGCACACTTCCACAGGACTCTCGCAAACTCAAACTCTCATAATAAACCTGTGAAATGGGTGTCACAGCGTCTGCATTTCCTACATGAAGAATATGATGCCGACAGTCACCTCGTGTCTGTGGCCAGCTCCCTAGAGCCCTGCACTCTCTGCCGTCCCATCTCCACATTGCTGTGGTGCAGGCCATCTCTGCTTGACCCTGGGGTTCTAAATAGACCTGGATCTGATGCCAGTGCTGGCACTTGCTAGCTCTGTGGCCCCGGGGAAGCAGAGTGACCTTGCCTTGCCTTGGTATTTCTGTCAAATACCACAGAGATTCTCTTTCCATGATTTGGTGAAAATTAAACATGCTAATGTGAATAAAATGATTAGCACAAAAGCAGGTCGTGGTAGCACTCACTTGTAATCCCGGCACTCAGGAGGCAAGTGGATCTCTGTGAGTTCAAGGCCAGCCTAATCTACATAGTGAGTTTTAGGACAGCCAAGGCTAGATAGAGCTTGCCCCCCCGCCCCCCAATACTCAGCACATAGTGGGTGCTCATCATATAGCAGGCCCAATATGTAGTGGGTGTCTTGCATGTAGCAGGCCCTAATGTGTAGTGTGGATTCTTGACATGTAGCAGGCTCTCACTATGTAGCAGGCACTAGGTACATTCCCACTTCTCTTCCCCCTTGTGTTTTCTTCCCCTCATTCCCCAGCATATTTTAAGAGACTGCACGAACCTTGAATCTCCTCTGAACTCTGCAGGGGTTCATGCCACCAAGGACCTCTGCAGCCAGGACCATTGCCCCTCATTTGCTTAGAATTACACTGTTGGTTAAGGACAGATCTCAGGAAAGCCTGGATCGCTCAGCACATGTGCTGACTGCCTCCTTGTGGACTAGAACTTGAAAGACAGACACTGCAATAGCTGTCTTCACAGACCCCAGAGCCTTATAGAGCTGAAGAGGCACCCACATGAAAGTTCATGGAAATTGAAGGAATCAAACAAAAGGCCCAAAGAAATGAGACATTGATACACTGGTTGGTTACCTGTGCTATTTCACATTGTAGAAAGTGTCACAGCAGCTGTGAACACTGTTAACCTCACTGGAGTTTGCCAGCCTCTCA